CAAAGATCTGAGGCTGAAAATTTGCAGTCAAGTGTGGCCAGCCGAGATCAACGGCCGCACAAAATTTCAGATCCATCGGACCGTCCATCGCAGAGATATGGGCCCCGCCGTTCTGCGTCCCACACTTGACATAATCCCGCCAACTTCCGCCATCGGGAATCTTATGCCACGTGGCACCGAAGTCCCTTGAGCCGAAGGCGGATCTTCCTCCGGCTCCTTTCCTTTCCTGCGCTGCACCGGAGGTGAGTCTCGCCTATGCGTAGGCGCTCGCCTATGCGCAGGCAGTCTCCCGTCCGCATGGAGTCGCCTATCTATAACAGTCACCCCCGTCGCTCATAACTCATAGATCCTTGCTTCGTTCAAAACTTTCTTGGGCTCGTTGAAACGAGCGTCGCTAGTTCTTTCCAACAAGACCCTAACTAAGTCAAACCGTTAAGAATTGAGAAAGTTATGACGGTTTTACTCTTTCGCCGAAGGCGTTTGCCTATGCACTCGCAGGCGTCCGCGTCCGCGTCATAAGCCGCCTACTCGCAGGCGTCCGCGTCCGTCCGCGCTGTTGCGCTGGCGCCGTACAAGTTCCAACCCCGAAGGCGCATTTCTAGGGCCGAAGGCGGATTTTCCGCCGACGCCGAAGCGCCTACGCGTAGGCGGACTTCTCTCGTCCGCGCATAGGACAAACTTTCCTCGCCTCCTCGTAGGCGAGAAGCTGAGTATCTTGCGACCTTCATAACTCCCAGAGTCCTCATCCGTTCGTGGCGTTCTTGGGCTGGTTAGAATCAGCGCGTCGAGCTCTTTCCAACGAAACCCTAACCAAGTCGAGACGTTGCGAATTGAGAAAGTTATGAGGGATTCACTCTTCCGCCGAATGCACTCTCCCGCATCGCCGAAGGCGTTGACCCGAAGGCGTCTAGCGCCAAAGGCGCATCTTCCGGCGGTTCTTCCGTCGAAGGCGTACCGCCAAAGTCGCTCTACCGCCGAAGGCTCATCATCAGTAACTTCCGACACTCATAACTCAGTGACCTCTCATCCGTTTCACAAGTTCTTGAGCTCGTTAGAACCAGCGCGTCAAGCTCTTTCCAACAAGACCCGAAGCAACTCAAAGCGTTACGAATTGAGAAAGTTATGAGTGATCTACCGCCGAAGGTGCTCGAAGCGGATCCTGCAGCATGAACCGCCCGTTCCGTCCCAAGCGTCCCAATGTGGCCTAAGCCCAAAACCCCTTGATTGTCCTCGATACTCTTTTTACTCTGGTTTCGCGTACCGATTTACTATTTACAGCTGCTGCCGCGGTACTTACTATTCAAAAATGTTTTAGTTCCGACAAAAAACAAAAAGTGGGTTACCACAAGCTGAAGGCCTTCGGCTGAATGTTCAGAGCTAGTACATTGGTTAGAGACTTGAGTAGTTCGGATCTACACCTGCGGGTGATTGCCGATGCTTAGAGCCAGTGACGAGTTAGATATTTGAACAGTTTCCCCCTTACACCTTCGAGTGTTTGTTTCTGATTGTACTCCTTCGGGATTTTTCCCTTGAATGCCAAAGTGAAGTTTTGCTACTTCGTGTAAGCCTCGGTTGTAAATTCAGGTTACGCTGCAGTAGGTGCCTTTAGGGTAACCCCTGTAGTATTTCTGGGAATGACAAGTGCCTGAGAAATCAAACTCTTCAATAGATTGTTATGGTGTGTTACTGGAACGTTTCTCAGTGAGTCCTTCCGTGCGGACCTGTGTTCTCTACGCGTTTTGTGAGTTGAGAGTGTTGTTCACCGCGTGTGAGTGACTTCGATCCGAAGTAGGAAGTCCAACCCGGGTTCCCTACGCTAGCAGAAAGCTAGTGGAAGGGTTGTAAAAGCCGGAGTTGGGAGTCACTACCCGCAGCTTCGCTAAGTACTCGCGAGAGACTTTCCCCCTGAAATCTTGAGTAGAGGTCCTAACCGATCTCTGGGTTGTGTTTCTGTAGTTTTAGGTGTGTGTGTGTGTGTGTGTGTTGAGTGAACTATGCTGCACAGTGCGACCTCCGAGTGAGCTCCGAGTGAAAACTTGCAGTATTTCTGGGAGTGACACTCGCCTGAGAATTCAAACTCCTCAATAGTCTGTTAAATGTGACACTTTGTACCCTGTGTGTTCCTCTGTCTCTGTGGGTTCGACCTTTCTACCACTATATTGCAGTTTTAGCCTTTAGTGGGTTATTACACTGCCGCACGGCTACGGGCGGAGACAGACCTCTCGGACTGTTGACAGTGACGGACGGTGGGCGGCAGCTTGTGCTCTTAGATGGTGACATCTAATGCACCCTCAACATTCGCTTCAGCACTTCCTTGGCCTTGGAAACGCTTGGCATCACCGCCTGGGAAACTGATTTCACAGTGCCAAGGTTCAGAATGCATCGATACGCATGAAGCAGATAATCTTCGCCTGCATTAAGCAAGAGATCACAGATTGCACATGCTTGTGACTCTCCTCCTGATGTTGTTCATCCGGAGTTCGAGAGAAGGTACCAGTCAGTTGATAGGAATGGTAACATGGTCTGGACTCTCACGGGCTGCTTCTTAATCATATGAGATAAACACCATTTATAGACCATCTGCACGTTGGCCTCCGTACGTCTCCGTAGCTAATAATCCAGTGTCTGGAGACACTACATAAAGTTGTCTTCTGTATTTTGTATAACTTATCGTCCTCCTGCGATATTAGCTCCTTAAATCAATCATAACATTTGTCGAACGTGGGATCTGGGTTACCGCACACTTGTTATATAATACGTGGTATTATAAGAGTCTCTTATCTCTTTGATCCAGTACCCTTTAACGAGGGCAGGATCAAGGACCTTCTGCCAGGGATTGACGCACTGAACATCTGACCGATTCAGTAAATTCGCAGCTGCACATGTCCATACGCCATTATATATACTTCAATCAGACCTAGATATCTATCAGGTACAGCACGGAATAAAAGTATCTTTGAAACTTCATGAACTTTAGTATACAATAGTTCCATCATGTCCATGGATATTCGTCAGGTGACTTCACAACCTGCTGGTTATGGTGGGTCGGTCGTGATTTAATTGAGCGTTGTGAGTGGACGGAGAACAGATTGAAAACTCGTCGCTCCGAAGTCGGCAGATCCTACGGGCACATGGACGAGATGCACTCAAGACCTTGGAAGTTGCTACTCCGAGCAGCTTGGAGTGTTTGCACGTAAATAAAAAATATGTACATTGCCGTTTCCTTTGCACCCTATGCTTGTGACCGGAGTAATCCTTGTGCCATGTACTGACCATACACCACCTTTTACAGAATTCAGAATCAGAATGGTCAGGGCTTTGGAAGCTGCAGATTCTGCTGTGCGTGGAGAATTCGTGATATCCTGCTATGCTGATTGCATGGCTACAGACACTGCTAGATAAACGGCCGCCAAAACTTGTTGATCAATGGCAAGGTAATTGAATCAGCTCTCTACCCCGTCGCGACTTACATATTAGCTAACCATAGTAGAACATCGCTAATATGACTTTTCTCATGTGTGGTCAGACAATTGCGCAGAGCGTAGGAGACTGGTACATTGCGAGAAATGTGAATGATTTCGTGCCAGTCGACGGACCGTATTTGTCCAATCCGACATGCTGAGGAAGGACAACGCACTCTGAAGAAACAGACTTTGCCGAACATTTGGTGGTTATTCAGGGCTGAGCTGGTCTATAGTAGTTTCAATGCACATGGTTTTTGCCAAATAAACTGGAACGCAAGTTATCAGGAGGTAGGCGACAAGATCAGCAAGTAGAAAGACACAGTCTTGAAGCTCACTCATGGAAACTAACTACTTCAGGATTGGATAATGGACAGTACAGTTGTTACCGTTCAGGACACAACGTGGAAGGAGACTTAAGAAACCAGAGATCTAGTAGCCATGGGAAAGCATGGCGTGAAAGCCGAAACTTGATGATATTGTGAAGTGTATTGTTTATAAATATAAAATGGATAGATCAATTTTTATAAGATAAATTTTCAAATTAATAAATATTCAAACATGCATTAAATATTTATTCAAAGCTTTAAAAAAATAAAAATATTATTTATTGAATAATTAGATTAAAAAAAATCTTTTAAAAATTAATTTTATATAGATATTTTTCAATATAATTTTATAATAATATAAATTTGTATGAATAAAATTAATTTTATTCATACAAATTTAACCAATCTGATGTAAATGAATATATAAAATTACTTCAATATAAAACAATAAAATTTTAAATGTTTACATATAGACTAAAAAAATTACTAAAATCAAAGATATTAGTAACAAGTCATTGCACACGTAAGAATGAACATTTAAATGAAAATATCATCGAATGCAAATGTGTATTTTTCATCACAAGCCAAATGAAATATAACCTGTAAAAAAGTTACTATGAAAGAATATCATAGCAACCCATCATCAATTTTGTTAATTAAATTATATACAAATATCACTTCATGTGCTCTCTGTAGAACTCGTCTAAAGATGTACCAAAGTTCTTTAAGTGTTCTTCATTGCTAGTTGTTCAGAAAATATCTTCAGTGATATCTGCAAGTCGTAAATGACAAGATACGAAAACTTCATAATCTTTTTGTATATTTGAAATGAGGACATTCAACTAACCGGAATTCGAATATATGGTGATTATCCTAACGATCTAGCCCATGACATTGGTAAGTACGTAATCTCACACCATCCAACACTCGTAATTCAATCGCGGAGACCAAGAGAGAGTATCATAAGAGAGCAATGGTTCAAGTGAAAAATGGATGGCCCCAATAATTACATCTTCCCGTCGGTACGCCGCAGGAAGGAATGTAGAAGAGAAGGCTTACCGTGCGGACACCGGCAAACGCTCACGTGTCAACGAGAAGGAGCGCAACGTCCATCGACCGACCGGCATGGAGACGGGCAGAATCTTGTCTTGTCTGTCCTTCCGCCGCCGTTGGCGAGAATCAGCGTCCCGGATTAAAGCTCCACTAAAGCTTGGGGTCTCGAGGACCGCGTTGACAGCTTCGACGTGCTTCGAGGACGAGCGAGCGATGGCGCCGACGGAGCTCGCCCTGCCCAGCGGCCGATTGCAGCGCTGGGGTCTCGCGTTGCTGTTTGTGGTGAATGTCGCGTGTGGCGCAGATCCGTGACGCAGAGCTATTCGTGGGAGACGAGGTGGTACGAGCAGAGGCTGGACCAATTTAGTTCGAGAAACGCTACCTTCCCGCAGAAGTTTCTGCTGCGAGCCCAGGAATGGGGCAAGGCGGAGTCGAAGGCCCCGATTTTCTTGCACTTCTTGCAACGAAGGGAATATCGAGTGGAGCGGCGAGATCACAGGGTTTCTGTACGACATAGCTCCCCGTTACAAAGCTCTGCTCGTGTTCCTGGAGCACAGGTACTACGGCGAATCCATGCTGTTCGGAAGTCAGCAAGCAGCTTACAAGGACGCGGACTCTCTGGCTTTTCTGAACATCGAGCAGATGATGAGAATGTCTTCGTCACTCTCATCACGGATCTGAAGCGGAACCTGTCAGCTGAAGTTTGCCCCGCGGTGCTGTTCGGTGGATCCTATGGAGGCATGTTGGCTGCATGGATGCGGCTCAATTATGCCCACATTGCAATCGGAGCCATCTCGTTGTCTGGTCCGATTTTGTGTTAGATAATCTTTTCGTTTCTTTGTTTTATTATAATCTGTCTATAGTTACTAGTAGCAACTGTTATTAGCATTGTGTAATTAAATGCTTCAAACTCCTGCATGGATTTCATGCTGTGTGAGTAAGTCCGAGTATCAAGGCATGGTCCCTACATGTTCATAATGACTAGTAAGTGCGTGTCATGCACTCAAGTAAGTGTTAGTAGTATATAAACCCCCTTTACATAAGAAAAGGCAACAAGTCATTTTGCACCACAATCAGTTCGCGTCAGTTCTATTACTCTCGTGTATGTTTTCTCTCTTGTGTTGTATAGGTTTGAGCAGGGCAGTTTGTCGAATAATTTATCTGGGTCTTGAGTGTTTTGTGTGATCTAGTTGCAGCGGGCCGTGCAAACCAACATTCTGCAGTTAAAAGATTTGGCATCTCCCTACTCCTTCACTCACACAGTGAGTGCCAATTTCAAGGCCGCCAGCGAGTCATGCTACCAAACCATCAGGGACTCATGGACTTTGATGGAACGATTGGGTTCAGCGAAGGAAGGGTTGCGTAAGTTGAGCAGCCAGTTCCACATGTGCGCTGATCTGCATGATTCGGGCGAACTGGGCGTCTGGACCGACAATGCTTATGCGTATGTTTCCATGGTGAATTACCCTTATCGGTCATCATTCCTGCAAAATTTGCCAGCCAACCCTATCAACGAGATCTGTAAGGCAATGGATTCGATTCCTGAGTCAGATTCCATGGCCAGGATTTTTGCCGCGATGGATGTGTACTACAGGAGAAACACTGGAGACCTGACGTACTTCGACATTTATGACGATCCTCACGGCATGAGTGGTTGGGACTGGCAAGATTGTACGGAGATGGTGATGCCTCATAGTAACCGGAACACGAGCATGTACTTGCCTTTCGAGTGGAATTTCGAAGACTTCGCCTACTGGTGCGAGAAGAACTATGGGGTGAGACCGCGATCTCACTGGATTGTGGAGGAATTCGGTGGCCAGGATATAGAGGCCGTCTTGAAGAGGTTTGGTAGCAGCCTTGTCTTCTCGAATGGATTGGTTGATTTGTGGAGTGGAGGCGGTGTCCTGAAGAACATATCTGCTTCGATTGTGGCTCTGGTAACCGCGAGGGAGCTCATCATTTAGACCTCTGGGCGATTCAGCCTGAAGTCGGGCCTCAGTGGTTAGTTCACCAGCGAAATGCGGAATTACAACATATCGACAGGTGGCTGCTTGAGTTCTATGCGGACAGGGATGATGGGCATGTGGAACAGGCTTGACGGAATTTCTGTGAAACTTCGGGTTTTATTTTGGCCATTGACTTCTCTTACTCTATGCTCTATGACTTCATCATTCGTTCCCAGTGACAGAGACCTCCACGTGACAGAGACCTCCACGGGTGGCCGCCGGAGTCACTGGACCCGCAACTCCGCTGGAAGGGTTCCATCGTCCGTCCATCCGAAGGGCTCCATCATCCGGTGGATTTGAGGTTCTTGAGCAAAACGGTCGAAGCAATCGACTGAAATCACAAAATTATAAGTGCATTTCTGCATCGAAGTAAAATGAGAAGTCAGAATTGTTCGTCTTGAGAAAAGAGTTCTTGTTGAGAAGAACGTAAACTGTCATGACAGTTTACAATATTGTACCATTACTTCTAGGGCTCCGATAACGTTCGGGTAGAACCCGAAAACCCGAGTTCGGGTAAAGGGCTGTATCCGACTCGAAACCTAGAGGTTAAAGAAATTGAGGGTCTGCTAGATTTCACATGCGAGGCTTGTTTGAAAGTCATTGCGGGAGGTTGTTATTCTTTCGAATGATCGATCCTCAAGGGAAAGGGAGGGCTGTCATTCACCTGCAGGCTCGGTGACCTTGATCGCGTCCCGAAGTCTAGACTTTGAAGCTTGAACAAAAGGTGAAATTCAAATCTAGGCTACAGCACACTGCCAGTGGCGTTCAAATGCTACAGAGGATTTTTAGGTGCTGAGAATCTGTGGAGCTCAGATTCTCCGGCGCCGTGCGGCAGATGTGGAGGGGAAAGTGAGGGCTTCAAGGAAATCGGCAAGCGGGCCCTCCTTTCACAGGAAAGCTCGAGAATGTTGGAAGGAGGGCTGGGATTTTGCAGCGTAGAAGGATGGATTCTATAATTCTTTGGAAGCCTGGATCGGACGAAATGCTGGACTTAGATTACTTATACAGGGAAGACTTTTGAAAATTCAAAGAGATTACATTGAGAAAGTCTACAAGGTTTTCAAAAATTGGATCGTATTTTTCTGTGAGTATGAATGGTATCTGAAATCCAATATTAGAGAAAAGAGAATCCATCTCTACCTTGTCGCGATTTGAAAACTCTGAATCCGTGGATCAGCTATGCAAATGCGCAGCAAAGACAGGCCAGGCAGAGGATGTAGAATCGATCGGCATCCCAGCAGAGGCCGCGGGCGGTACTTGAAAAATCTACCAGTCTCAAATGTGTCGACTTTGAAGCAGCGTCTACGGCAACGTGTCTATGAGTGAGCAGCCAGCCATGAGCCATCGGAACAGTGAAACAAAAGATTTCAAGAAGGGACATATACTGCACGAACTCTGTGCAGATTATGTGATACAAGCAGCAAGTTGAACTCAATGGCTCTAATCTGCATTAGACAGTCAGACAGACGTTATTTCTTTCGTTTATTGTGTTCTTTATCACCGATTTTTCTCTGATTTTCTCGACCTGATCGGAGCCCTAATTACTTCAAACTGAGTATCTACAATATACAACTTACAGTAGAAAATTTATGAGAAAACTTGTAATAAATTAATTGCAATCCTTGCTACAGTCTTGGGTCTCAGAATATGTTAGGAGTCAGAATCACGGCTTCTCTAACCAAGCTTCTTCAAACCCACACACGGACGACCCACCCAAGCCACAGTGCACAACCCACGAGCCCCTATCACATTTATATGGCCCTTTGAGTATGACCTTGCTTGTATAGGAGTTTATCTTCATCAAACTCAAACTCGTCGTTCAATGCCAGAAGGTTCTCCGCGCATTTGAGTCCTGAAGATCTATCATGGCATTTCCATTCAATGCCAGAAGATTTTGAGAAGCGTCCAGATCTCTTAAAGCATCATTGTCAGTATTGATCCAGTTCTCATTGTATTGTTCAAATGCATCAGCCCGTTTTTTAACAGCTGTGTTCCACCTGTTCTTGATAGCATTGTCTGAAGAAATTAGACAGATTTTCTTGAATTATAGTTTGGGAACTGGATCGTTCCCCGCCGCTGGTTAGTCGCAAGAGTGAGGAGTCCATGCCCATCGAGTCGCCTCGTGCATTCCAGAGGACAACAGCTCGGTCTTCCGACTGGACTGGGGAGAGCTAACCGCCATCGCCCAGGGAGTCTCGGAGGAGCCGAACTACCTCCCTCACGGACTCAGAGGTAGGAGAAGTCATCGTGGATCTGGACTTGACGCCCAAGGACGAGTCTTCGAGATTGTCCGCCGTCGAAGGCTTGCAAACTTGATGACGTATTACCTCCATGTCATGGCCGTCGATTGCTGCTTGACTGAGACGCAAGACTTAGGCTGTGCAGGTTATTATTGATTTAAGATTGTCCGACTTTTCGATCCTCAATCTGGACATTACGCACTCGTATGTATTAGAAACGAGACCCTTCGGGGTTTCCAGTTGACTGCAGTGCGACATCGTGCGATCATAGTCGGGAACTACGACAAATCGTTTTTGACCGTAACTTCAAATGGATGTAAGCACAGCACTCCTTTGGTTGGTATCGTCGCGACTCGACTCTGCTGTGCTCCTTCCAAAACTCGACATCATCCCTCTCGAGCATTCAGCTCCTGTATCCGCTGCAGTGATAACATTCGCGTCTTGCATTTATAGCACCAGGACTGACAAGTCTGTGCATAGGACGGGAGATTATTGTATTAGGCAGCAAAATCACTATATTATCCATTAGAAACTCTGCTAACAACGTATCTATACCCTAATCTCCGTTAAGTCTTAAACTTCGGGGTTAATTTCCTTCATGATGTCACTCATGTTGAATGGACCACATCGTGCAGCCGCCTGAAATGACTTTATGTTCACAAGCATCCGAGATGGATGGCAAGAGAAGTGGAAGGCACACAGTCATTTCCAGCACGATCGAGCGACACGTTTCGTTCGTCATCTCGTCTTCAAATGGATGTAAGCACAGCACTCTTTTGGTTGGTATCGTCGCGACTCGACTCTGCTGTGCCCCTTCGAAAACTCGACATCATCCCTCTCGAGCATTCAGCTCCTGTATCCGCTGCAGTGATAACATTCGCGTCTTGCATGTATAGCACCAGGACTGACAAGTCTGCATAATAGTCAGCCAGGCAAATCAAAGGAGAGGCTTCTCTCGGATAAGAAATAGATGTGATGCATTCCAAAATTTTATTGTATAGATTAAATTTTCAATCTCAATGGATGAGTTTTTAATGCAAATTGATAACTTCACACTGATACAAATGTATATGTATATACATTCAAATGTATATACAAATGTATATACAAGAGTTAATACAAGTATAGAAATGTTAATACATTAGTAATTACATTTGTTACATAATATTATATCAAATGAAAAAAAATCTTGTCAAAATGTGAAACTAATATGAAATTGAATATCAACTAATATTCATGTCAAAAATGAAAAGTAAGTAAGTATACAAGCATTGATACAATTAAACTAAGTATACAAGCATAAACACATTAAATTATACTTTTGTTACAGAATATTGTTCTCAATTTCAAATTCTAAGTGGTGAAGTTTGAGTATCAATTGGAACTTAAGATTGTATGCAATTAATGTTTGAGATACCTGATGGACTTTGTACATAAACATCTGTATTTTAATTTTGTTATATAAATATATAGTTCGATAAAATTTACCTTTTGTATGAGACGATCATTTCTTATAATTGGTGTAATATATGAATATTTTTCGAGTCCACAGATTTCAAAATCTATAGATTTATATCTTTGCAAGAAAATATTTTTTCACCGAATAATTTAAATCATTTATATTGCAATGTAATTTCTTCATTTGGCTTTATCATTGATTCAAATAAACTTCATTATTAAATAGATATATTTTACGACAGAAAAAAAATATTCATAATAGTGACAAAATGTGTCTTCAAACAAATTTATAGATTCAGTATCATAGATTAATAATTTTATTGACTGTAATATTGTAGAATTTTGAAAGATGAGTAGAATGTAAAAATAGTTTTTACACTACATTTATCTTTCAAACTCTTTTGAAAATTCAGAACAAATTTGAAACTACATATTTTTGCATCTTTTGATAATTTGATAATATCAGCTTTGTCAACTCTCAAAAAATACGTACAGATCAATCATTTTACAATCATATTCAAGAGAGCAGATGATAATATCATCATTTTCAAACATTTGCTTTGTCTAAAGTGTAAAGTGTAGAGGTTGTGAAATTAAGAAATGAGATGTTTGATTTTGAAACTAGTATAGAGTAGTTCCAATCAGCAGGTTTTTCTTTCTTTTCATGTAAAAGCACAATTCTAGTTGTGATTGAATTCCCTACTTAGTTTCATTTATAATAATTCAACTACATAACTATGTAGTCAACAATGGAATAAACCTGATATATCTCGATTTACCTCGTCATCACGACTGAATCTTGTCAGGACTACAAAACAGTGCAAGAAATTGAGACTTGTTTCCACTCCGACTGTATCCTCATAGTACTTGAAGATTTCATTATCTATCATCTACTATTTTCTAAAACGTTCCAGAATAGGTTTGCAAAATGTTACATGTATCTCTACTCAAAAAGATTCATATCACTGATATAAGAAAGGAAAAAAAACTTTTCTAAGTACCACGGTGCTAGCCAAAACACGGTTTACTATATTAAAATCAAGAAAAGCTCAAGAATTCAAAAAACTTCTCTATTTTGCGCTTCGAATTCGGAATTCTACGCGGTATACCAAGACTGCTGAAGATAATGCTATGAGAATGAGTTGCTTCAACGGATTTCGCAATCTTGCAGCCCATTCAGCTCGCATAGCACACCCCAACAAATGGTGTATCACCAATGATGACAATGCTGTAATTTCACCCCATCCAAATCAAGCAAAAAAAAAGAAATTATAGCACAAATGTTTGAAAACGAAAATTATCCCATGCCATATAACATGAATGCGAATGTGGATCATGACACACAAAGAGTAAAAGCGTGCCGTCGCCAGAAGTCAGTTTGAGGAGAGCTAAACACGAGATGGATCGAAATATCGAACAGTTGAGAACCTCGTCAAACGTCTACCATCTGACCTAACTCATCGCCGTCCACAGTTCTGGCAGGCTTAGGACCGACGCCCGCGACACCTCTCTGGTCTGAACAATACCCAACCACCGCTACAACTGAAAGGACGGCAGTGACGAAGGCACCTAGAATCACGTACCAAGGAACATTGCGGCCGAGGCTGTCACAAATCAAACTTGCATTGTACGGAACGTACGCGACAAACATAACGACAGCAATGAGGGCATAGAGGAAAACAGCCACTAGTACTCTGCATACGATGTACAATGCGAACCCGCTGACCAGGAAAGAGTTTCTCAGGAAAGAGTTTCTGAGAGAGACTGGGGAGCGTGTACAGAATTTAGTAAAGGAGGACATTGGCCAGCACGAAGAGAATTTTTACCATTTCAACGTACAAAGTTGGTTGTTCAGGTTCAAGTTGGGTGGACTGCACAAGGGGCACCGCATCGACGAGCCAGAAAAGAACGAACACGCAAGGAGCCATGAAGATCCCGTTGATGACAGCAAAGAGGGAAATTGAAGCCAAGACGCGCACGAGGGACCCGGAAAATACCACGCTCCAGTACACAGCTTTTAACACCAGCAGCAGAGACGGATGAAGGTTGTTGCGGGCCCATGCCCACCAAGATGCAGCTCTCAGAGTAATCGTCTGCCAGAACTCCGACGAGGTCCCTCGATTTTGACTCTAGATCCCGGACTGTGATTCTCTCTCCATTGCGCTCCGCCGACGATTGCGTTCCTCTGCTGAGATCGTTCGTCTGTCCTCGTCATGTCCGGTATGAAACGATGGCAATCGTCTGTAAATTTGGCAGATTCAAGCGCAGGGTGAGCGATGATGACCGGGTGTGAGTTCTCGTCCCCTGATCCCTCCCTGTCGGGAAGCCCTTGGCTAGCTGTCCGACGGCGTCATAGCTTTTCATTTTCTTAAAGATTGGAGTTGCTTCTGGAGCACGATTCTCTCTGTGAACACAATCATTTAAAGATTCCTCTATCAGATCGGGCTTGTCTTAGTGCATCGTGAAATTAAAAACGTTATCATTAACATTGTGTACCATTTGATGTTGATTTCTAAAATTAGTTTTTTTATAATACTTAGAGTACTTACCCAATATATTTTTCAAAATAAACTTTCAAATTATTCATTAATTGGGTATTTATTATTAACCAGTTTAAGCCTCACCACATCATCAATCTTGCCAACGTGGTGCAGATCCGTTTAAGCAGATCTGCACCACGTTGCAAGGCACGCCCATTACATGAATTTCCATGATCAGCGAGCAAAATGTCCCAAAATGCGTCGTGTGAAAGACTTTCCCGTACCTTATATCAGCGTTAACACATCTAAGAACTTATAGATTCTTCTACCACAGACTCGAAATCAATCACTTTTGAATGAACTGCCTTGCTCAGAGAATTTGCAGAAGACAACCAAGCTGCCATTGAATTACTCCTGACAACAGTTGAAAGAAAAGGAAATAAAATGTTTTGATTATATCATGAATTATTCCGACCATCCACTTCAGAGTAAAAGTTTTCATAGATGACAGATAGAGCGCAACTAAGCTACCTAGTTGCAGTCACTTATCTAAGAATTCATTCAAATTCTTACGTCTTGACCCTTTTTTTAATAGACTCCGCAACATCGTCTGCGTAAAACTGCAAATTCTCTCCAATCACATGCCAATCATTTGACCCATGAGGTTTGTACAGCCGTATTTGTCTCTTCAAGAGACTGCCGCTCGAAAAGTGCACATCAAGTGCTACGAAGGCCGACGCTAGCACATCTTGGACACTGCATGTGGTCGGAACATGCAGTGTTCAAAATTACACTCGTGTTCAAACAAGGCTACCAACTGTATAAAATAACATAATCTGATCTTTATTCCTGTCCATTCTAAGGTTGCTGTACCCTCATCATTCAGAACAATCAATCTGGGATATATTTCAAAGTACATGGTAGACAAGCCAATGTTTAAGTGAAGGGATTTCATCATGGGGAGACTTGCAACAAGCCACACTTAAAACTTTGTACTCAAAATGTAATTTTGATAGATTAGCCAAAGACAAATCTTCCTCAGAAACATAATTGTGCGATTGACATGATTGCAAAGATTATGAAAGACTTTTACAAGTGAAAACTCTTACCAAGATTTTGCAGAGGTTCATATTGCATAAGGGTCTAAACATATCTTTCTCAATTGCATAATGACATTCTTACCTCCTTCAAATCCTAATCTGTAAAAATTCCACTACTACGACCTTTATGCATGCACTCCTCGCACACCCATGCATGCCCACCTAATTCTAGACTCACGTATTTCACCTGATACAACTTGAAGATTGCCGAATAGCTATCTCGAAGCTGAGGCGCAAGAATTTGCTGAATTCTCAGCCATGCTTCTTTGAGCTCCATGCTTTCCCCACCTTTTCGAACTGCTCTACGGTCACGATAACTAATGCCATCTAGTTTAACAATATCAGATTTTAAATCCTCCCAGTCCGGAACCGCTTGGGCCAAAGTTAGAGTTTTATCCAGTCCAGCCTTCACAGCGTAATAGATGATTTTGTTTGAAATTTCAATAGTTTTTCGAATCCACGCGCAATTCTCCCGATCCAAGCGTATTTTTAATCCATCCTGATCTAAAACTTTGTGAAACCCAGTAACCGACTCACACATTAAGTCTAATCGAACGGTTGTCCCGGCATGCAGAAGTGCACTTAACCTGTAAAAAACGCCAACATCGTTCGTCACGTAAGGTCTCTTGGGAGTTCTCGCCTGCTGAAGCGATTGAGGATACTCAATCTGCCTGTCTACTTTAGACATGAAGTCCATCAACCTTGGCTGTAATTCTTGATGGAAAGTGAATATCTGTCCCAGCTTCATCTCCACTGATCTCAACCTCTCATCCACATTAACGAAGTTGGACCTATCTGGTAGATCTGAATAACTCGAGTTGCCAACCCTATTCTCACTTTCAGTGTAAGGTTGATCCAAATCATTCCTCTCGCTTATGAATGCTTGCCGAAATGATTCCAATTGTTGAACGTTCTTCCGTCGGATCTTATTCACAATCATTTCCACACCGCTCTCATCCACAACCTCTTCCACATCGCTCTCCGGTAGCAAATCCCTAGCTCTTTCGGTTTTTACTGATGTGTGCCCTCTAATCGAGGGCCAAGAGTGCTCATAGTTAAACAACTCTTCCTCCTTCACCAAGTGCAACCTATCCGGTGGAATATCCTCAAGTTTGTCCTTGATGCTACGAATGAAGTTTGATTTGAGCTTCTGGATCGAAATGGCTCCTCTGAGATGACTCGGAATCAGCATCTCCACGCAACGTATTTGGATTACACCGAGCACTAACACCACCCCGGGACAGCCTTTGGATGATGCGCAGAATGATATCAACTCCTGGACGATATGCTTCATCACGTATTGCAGAGCCTCCGACCTTGATTTACGCTTCGAGCTTAACATCATAACGTCCAAGTAATTGTGGGAAGTTCCTTGCTCGACGTAGATTTCGTACCCATCAAGGAAAAGTCGAAGATAATGTCGAGAGCAGATCACATTCTTCTCGGAAACATGGAACTCTGATATCAACTTGCGTCTCATGAACATCTACAGTGATACAAAATTTAACAAAATTGAGCTGCACATTCTAAAAATTTACTTCATCTTATGAAAAGGTAACACTCCATTCTTCAACCACAACTTACAATCAACATTTAACAAATACAATCTTCACACAATATACGTGAAATCACCTGGAAGCATGGGAAAAAAGCAGCGGTCAATGACATTCTTCTTGTATCTTGGCATTGAATCCGGATGCCGACAAACTGTGAAGTCTCATCCCTAGTTTCCCAAGCCAGTTCTTGAGGCTTCTGCTCTTCCGTGCTTGCATGCTCAGGGATGAAGGAAGGAATGAAATACTGAGAAGGATCTTCCAACTTGAAACACAAATCTAAATTGATAAGGATGTCTTCAAGCACCTTTTCGTCCACACCTTCCTGTACATGTGGATGCTTTGCCAGAAACTCTTCTATCAATCCAGCAAAGACACTTTCACTCACAAATCCGTCCCTGCTTGTGTATGGCTCACTTGACATCGTGTCATCAGCAGACTCGGAGTCATCAGCTTGAAAGTGTTGACCCAGAGCTATCAGCTCACCCAAGAAGGTATTGGTTAGCCAGTTGGGATCCACAATGATGAAATCAAGATTGGGGATGTAAATGATAGATCCAACGTCATTCAAGTAAGATATAATAGAGTCCATTATCCTTGAATGATCAGTAGAGTGAAAAGCAGATGATGGAATATGTTGTGCCAAGCTAGGAGCACAGAATGCATAAAACTCTTCAGATGGCCACAGAGGGCGACTTCTGCTCTTCTTGATGTTTTTAACCAAGAGGGAAGTGAGTTGAAAACACAAATGGGGAATCTGTGGAGATTCGTCACTCAATAACTTCTCAAAAATTTTAAAAACATGACTTTTGAGAGGAATAACTTGCTTGTTATTCCGAGCATCCACATGAAAAAACTCTTGGCGGAGATCCACAAAATTTGCGAATCTTTTGGTAAGTTCTTCAACTATGGAGCGAGCCCAAGTCAAAGAGGGGTATCTTGTTTTATCTTTGTGTGAAATCACAACAATAACTTGGGGAAGATGATGTCCTGTGACCTTGGTGCTAGATGAAATGAACCTCAACCACTCCTCCAATTCAGTTCTAAAACAAGAGTCTGGTTTGTTTGAAGATGTTTTTTTACAGAAGGGGCTATAAACAAAAAGAAAAACACAGAAATGGTTGGTTTGAGGGAAAAGCACATTTTGAAGAGTACGAAAAATCCATTGTCCCGCAAGATCCCAAACTGATATTTGCATATCTTTATCATTTTGCAAAAACTCCACTTCAATGCCTTTGGTTCTGAATTTGTTCCATTTGCTCGCAAGCCAACGTCTGCCTTGGATGACACTCATCAGGGTTCGCCGCAATTGAGTCTTGCATACAGATTGAAAAATAAAATAACCGCAACAAATGCAACTTGTTACTTAAAATGTATATCACGAATTCTATGATAAGATATTTCAAATTTCACATTAGTAATTTCAAAATTTTAATAGCAATTTATCTCTTGATTGAATTATTCTGTATTTGTATTTTATTGAGTTTTGCACACAATTACGAATTTCAGATAAAAAAATAAACTTCATATAGTCAAAATTAATCTTTGAAAAATAACAAGTTAGATTCCTAGTTTGCAAACCTTGAGATAGAACTGAGAATTTACAGAGCACCTTACCTGCTCTAGGAGAGCCGCATAAGAAGAGTCGACCAGCTTTTGCAGCTCCAAATGTCAACTTGGCTTCTCGGAACACAGACATGTAGACCGCCCGATTCCGGTTCTGCTTTAGAGACTCTTTAATCTTCGCCGCCTTTCCATGCTTTGCCCATGAGGTTTCTGAGACATCGATTTCTTCGAGAGTCAAGTTGACTTGCAGTAGCCCCATCAGATCCCTCAACGCCTCTTCGTCGAGTTTAGATTCAGGCAAATGCAAGTTTGAGTCCGCTTCTTCGGCAGCCACCAATTTCAAGTGAGTGAGACTTGTGTTCCCTCGCAAGCACCGAAGCAGGTCCTTCCATACTCCCTTCAAAAGATCTTCGCTTCCAAATAATATGAGACTCTTCAGGACTGAAGTTTCTCCAGATTTTCCATTCATCGACAAAATACTTCCCATTCTATCTTGGTTGGTACCTGAAGTGCGAAGACTGTGCGCTGATAGTTGCAAAGATTTCAGAGATTTGATTTCGCCGCGCAGAACCCTACCTAATAGGTTTAATGATAACATCCACTCATCATGGTCATTCGAAATGCTGAGGGAAAGCCCCAGTTTGGCGTCCTTGACATCGGAGCTAGCACCCCACGCAAGAGCTTCTATTGACTTCCAGTCAATAACAGGATTACTACAAGGACCACCAATTAGTCTAAGAAACCGTACACTTTCTATAGCACT